GAACAGTAATTTACCGTCTAGAAATAAGTTTGCCACACATACATAGTTGTCTTTATTCATTATAACTACGAAAGAGCTCTTATCCAGTCTATGAGTTAGATTTTCCAGTTTTATTTAGTCATTAGGTGCAATTAAAAAGAACGAAACACCAGTCATGAGATATAGTAAATTATGATATCAATCATTTCGAATAAAACCAGAAGTGTTTCTCCTCACTCACTAGCTTTATTTAGCATCCCTGATTCGATAAATTTCTAAAATGAGTTCGTGTTATAACTCTATCATTGTGATTTCTTAGAATGTGAAACTTATATCGCGGTGAAAGTATTAGTGATTCGGTGTAATTCAACTTCAGATTCGATATTTCTCATATTTACTCCTAAGCATCCTCAAGGATTATTTTAAGCAGTTGTTTTCCTGTTAGAGCTTTACATAATATTTTAATACGACCACTGTTCATTTGAACATTGAATTAATATTCCTGAGTTCCATCTGTACTTGCTGAAAAAAAAATGTAGGTTTTTTCTCTGAATAAATTATTACATCCTGGAACACTGAATCTGTCTTTTACAAGTGTTGAAAATGTCATTAATAGAGGGAAAACAAAAAGTTCAACAGAAGATATCTTTCCAGACATGTCATCCACATTAGCTATACAATGGCACTTTCCACACATTTTTTTTCTACTAAATGGGATAGTTAAAACTACTGTCTAATTGTACAGCGACAAAGATGAAATTAAGAGACGAAAATAGTACTTTTGCGCCGTAATGTGAAATTTTTGGAGATTGATCACAAAAAGCATAAGGACTGGAATTATACAGGCTTGGAAAAATATTTGCATGATATGTAAAATAAATTTCGAGATACAATCTGCAATCAAGGTATATGCGAACAAAATATCATTATTGAATTGAATTTTCGATTTTCCCGTCGACTGATTGTACCGAAGTGCTCGGTCTCAGGTTGACATATCGGCTTCTTCTGCAGATGCCTCGACGATGTCTGGGCATTTAATTAGTATACAATTGGTGGATGGTGGCTAGCAGTGGAATCCAGGATGCGCGTTTCGTCCTATTTGGGACTCGTCATCTGGATGTACGTGCGTTTCTCAGTGAGTGATGATGTTCTCACTGAGGCTCGAACCCAGTGCCCAATCTACAAACAATCGACGGGAAAATCAAAAATTCAATTCAGTAATTAATATGACCCGTTGCACAAGAGGTCGCTCTCGTGGCCCAAATGGTCTAGTGGATAACGCTTTGGCGTTTGAAACTATGCGCACTGGGTTCGAGCCTCAGTGGGAAAATCATCACTCACTGAGAAATGCACGTACATCCACTGACGAGTCCCAAATAGGACGAAATACGCATCCTATATTCCACTGATAGCCGCCATCGTGTATGAATGCTTTGCTCAGTTGGGAAGCTCTCTGTACACCATGACAATACTGAGAGTTATGAGAATGATGAAAACCCCTACTAACTTCATAAACAATCACTGGAAGGTAAACAAGAGCTAGTAAAATCTGATATGACTGAGAAAAAACTTTTTATAACCCTTGAATTTAAAGATGATTAGTTACAAATTTAATGATGTGCTGAAAGGAAAACAAGCAACTCCTGGCACTACTGCCCTGTTTTACCAAATGCCTATTGGAACAGTTGAAACTCGACCAGCTTACTATTTAGTTCAGGTTTACATTACAATACACATATATGGCAAGAAAAAACCAGAGGATTGTTTAACATATTTTGAAGTATGGCTATAAGAATTCGAGACTAGAAGTAGCAACTGCTCTTCAGGATAGTGGCAGTCATTGTGAATTTGATATTCCGAAGTTCTTCATCTTATTCATCAGAAAAATGAATTGAAACTCATTATTCTTCACCTAAGTGGGTGGTATCCAGCTAATCAGAAAAGAGCTATGCATTCATATGGAGTCAGTTTTTTCAATCTTCTGACACGATAAGTGCCATTTTAGTTGCTGAAGTCTATCAGCCAATTTTTTCTGATAGATTTCTCATTTTCACTAGTTTTTTTTCTATTATCAGTATGACGTCCTTCCATAAAGCTCAAAAATATTTGCTTCCCTCCATTTTCCGTCCTCATACATCTGCACAAGAAGGCGACATGTCAACCTGAGACCGAGCACTTCGGTACAATCAATCGACGGGAAAATCAAAAATTCAATTCAATAATTAATATGACCCGTTGCACAAGAGGTGGCCCAAGTGGTCTAGTGGATAACGCTTTGACGTTTGAAATTATGAGCACTGGGTTCGAGCCTCAGTGAGAACATCATCACTCACTGAGAAATGCACGTACATCCAGATGACGAGTCCCAAATAGGACGAAACGCGCATCCTGGATTCCACTGCTAGCCACCATCCACCAATTGTATACTAATTAAAATGTTATTATGTAGCCAGCTGATGATGAATTGAAGAGAACGATTAAAATTAGACAAACAGGACAAAATTAAGTCTATTGTAGATAAAAGGTTTAAATGAGGTTTTGTTGTATGCATAACTGTACTTTCCCCGGGAATACAGACAGAACTTCTGTAGTGGAAAGTATCCGCCGCTATGCCTCAAATTTCTATTTATTCCAGCAATTACTATGAATTAATAGTTGATCGATATTTCGTGCTAGACATTGATAAGGTGCCCAATTATATCACTCACGACTGAATTAATGCCACTTTTTTGAGACCATGTTGGTCAGTATTATCCAATTAGTTTTGGTGGGGGGACACAGAATGACATATATGTATGTATACATTTGTAAGCATATATAGCTGTGTAGATATGTGTTTGACGCTCGCATTCACTTTACTAGGTAAAAGTTTTCTACTGCCGTCACCAATATCCCAGCATTATAATTAAGATTTGCTACTTCCTGACAAAAAACAAAAAAGTAGCTTAAAGAACTAATGTGTGATAAACACTTAGCAATTACATTTCCAGGCAACGGTTTGGGTGTTGTGCATATGTACAGAGACGTGCATTAAGACAAGAAAAGTTGTAGTTTCAGGTGACAGTGAATTTCTTAAGCCTAATAAATGGAAAAGTAGGACTGAACGGTAACTGACAAATATCCTCATAAGACTTGAAAACAACGAGTAAACAGTGGAAATTTTATGAAAACCTCCGACAGGAAGGGCAAGTAACTGTTCACATTTGTGGACTAACAAAAGTGAAGAAAGCTGGTCCACCTCTTTGAACTATTTCGGATATGCTGGGGTGACCCTATCATCTAATTTCCTGGTGTCTATGTTTTCATTGACTTTGCTGTTGTCCCTATTTCTACAGAGTGTATTATACCCAGATTATAAAACAACATTTTGAAGCAAATGATTAACGTCTTCCTGTTGTTTAGGAGATATGTCAATAACAGTTTTGTAAATCAGCTTCGCGCGCATTTAACAATTAATACACCTCAGCTAAATTCACACTGGAAACAGAAAATAAATCAATGACTCCATTTATATACATAGAACTGATCAGCAAATATGGTAGTAATCTGTAAGGATCTGTCTACAGAAAACTCTTATGCAGTCACCAACTAACGAGTCCTTATAGCTGGGTTAAGAACTTGGTCATGAAATTAGAAAAATCTCCAACAGTACAGAATACCAACATTATGTTAAAAATTTATTCTTAATTATGTTTCATGGAAGGAGAAATTCACCAGTAAGTGAACTTTATTCAGAGGCGCCTTCTAACATTCCTTGGCCTCCCATTTTCTCGTTTTTATTTTCATGTACTCACTTTTTGATTATATATATATATATAGTATTCGCCTTCGATTATTATGTGAGTATTCCTAAGAAATGGTGAATTCATTTGATGTGCAGCTACCAATCTTGTGTGGGGCAAATGTTAAACTAACTAAAATTCAAATGTATTTAGCCTTTGTTCAGACAATTCTGTCATCACCAATGAAATCTTGTAAATATGAGAAACTACCTTAATTATTATCCTCAAGATATATTTAAACGCAGGCTGATTTTTGAAATCATATAACATTTCTCGCGAACATCTTATGATGAGAGGCGGGAGATATTCAGAAACAAGAATGTCTACAATGATGCTGAAACAGATAAATGAGAAGCTAATTATGAACCTCTGCAATATATCGTAATTACAAATGCGCTTATTAACTCCTCATTTATCTGCAGAAATTTATCAAGAGTCAACCAAAATTTGTATATTTCCCAGGGTTAAAACGAGCCTCCCTAAGTTACAAGATCGAGAAAAGCGGCTCTGTTTTACTGTTTAACAATAGCTTCTTGTTATTAGACTACATATCCATTGTTATTCCGGATGTATTTACAAGAAAGACTTAGCTGTTAATTATAATAACATTCTTCTCCAGAATTATCCATAGGAGCGATGTCTTCATTCGTGAAAGCAGGTCACCTTCTTGATCTAGATCTGTCCTGACGATGTTTACTAACACCGTAGATATTTCGCTCTTATTTGGAAATACTTTTACTTATCATATAATGACTAAACTTTACCCTTTCACATTTATACATCTTCACTGCTTAAAAAGTATTTTGATTGTTTGCCTGACGATTATCTATTCATCTTTCTTCATGGAGAAAAAAAATAACAACAGAAGCGAGTTTGCTAAACCTAGAATGATATATACATATCATTTGGGAAACATTTTTCTAGAATGACTAATATTCACATCAATGCTTAACGTTATCATTTACTAAAGAATAATTAACAGCATTTTTAATTGCACAAGGTAGATAAATAAGGAGATTAGTTTCAGTTTGCGAACTGCGTAAAAGCTACAATAGGCGAAAGGGGAGTCATAACTCGTAGAATGGATAATAATTAATAAGAAGAGAACTACTATTATTATCATCATAAAGACAATACGAGTCGTTATAAATAAAAAGGATAAACCGTGCAGTGAATATCACACAAAGCAGTCATTAAATTTATAAGTATCGCTCTGGAAACTCCACACATTTATACAATTCAGGAGTGCTGCATTCGTAGAGGCAAATGAATGTCATATGTACTTATGATCAGGACCAGTGTTAAGAGAATGATTCCTGTAATTTCCAGCTTTCATATAACGCTAAAACTATGTAAACAACAATCGAAATACCTTAGAAAAATCCTGTTTTTTGTTGTGATACACTACATTCATGGTGTGAACGTTTGGTCTTAGTCTCCCATACTCAGAGTTTGTAGTTCTATATAATGGATTGAATTTGCGACCCTCATAGCCTTCAAATTTATCTGAACAGATTAAAAATTAGGTAACCGTTACCAGGATTATTGAAGCGATCTGGTAGATTTTCATCAATGTGATAATATTCTGATGTCTGAGATCCTAAAGGAATGTCTCTTGGGCGATCATTAAGATGAGCGCCTCTGTCACACCCGTCTTCTACGGATGTCTTTTCTTCATACTGTTTACATGGACAAATATCTTTAACATCAACCATCTACTTAAATAGTTGCTTTGAGGTTAAGGTCATCACTATAATAACCTAGTTAAAATGTCGACAAAGTTCAACAAAAGTGTCCCAAGGTATGCAAATTCACGAAAGAACTTCAGCCAACCAATATCGTTTTTACGGGCTGGTATAAACCGATTTAATTTCTTTGTTGCTACTGTGAATGGAGTTGATCTTTCCACCAGTTAGTCCTCTGGTGTCATCGTCAAAAGGAAAGAGATAATTGTAACGGATACAATTAGCGTAGGTTATGAAGACTAAAAGACAGAAAAAGAAGTAAAGAAAACGTAAAAACAGACATAATGACATTTGAAGTTGGCGTATGTATACATACATATGTTAATATACATATATCCAATATCCAATATCGTTTTTACGAGCTAGTATAAACCAATTTGATTTCTTTGTGCTCGCTTCTTGATTGTGAGGTATAGGTTCTTGATCTTCGGTAAACTTCTGCGTAGCTTGTCCCGCCACTCGACTGTCGTAGCTTTGGTTGACTCCAAAGGGAGTAGTGCTGGGATTAATTATATGTGGTTTGTAGTATGAGGTATGTTAAGACTGTTACTACTGTGATTGGAGTTGATCCTTTCGCCAGTTAGTCCTTCGGTATTGTCGACAAGAGAAAAGAGATAGTAATAATAATAATAGATATAATTAGTGAAGCTATTCAGACTAAGAGACAGAAACGAAAATAGGAAACGTAACAACAGTCAGCTCATTAAGTTTGAAGAATAATATATATATCGGTAATAGTAATAATAATAATAATAGTAATTATAATATTAATAAGTTGTCAGGAGAGTAAGACGGGAGAGAATGTAAAGAAGTAAAATGACGAGTTTAATTATCTACCCTGATTGGTAAATGCGATTTTAAGGAGATAGGCCATTTGGATGCAGTCCTTGTATCGCTGCATGGTTGTCCAGCCTTCGCTTAAAGGCGTCCAAAGACGGTGCCATAGCTACATCTGCCGGTAAGGAATTCCAGGGACGACAAACCCGCAGTGAAAAGAAGTGGGAGCGCACCCGGGTCCTTGCCCTCTGGTGAGCTATCCTTCTGGGATTTCCACGTGGAAGCCTATACCTACTCAATGGCAGAACACCTTTGTTTGGGTGATTCTGGTCATTTGTTATTTTGTAGGCAGTAATCAAATCCCCCCTAAGCCGACGGTAACTAAGTGTGAACAGGCCTAATTTCTTCAGCCTTTCATCATATGGTTTGTTTCGGAGACCAACCACTCCTTTTGTTGCCCGTCGTTGGACTCTTTCCAAGAGGTTGGCATCTCTTCTCAGCATTGGGGGTGCAATAATATTATGCACCTCAAGGTGTGGCCTGACGTATGTTTTGTACAACATTAGAAAGAGCTCAGGAGTGAGTGCACCTAACTGTCTATGCGTAAAGTGTATGACCGCATATGCCCTCGCTACATCCCCTGTGTAATTTACGCTTGTGTCCATTTTTTCCGTTAGAACTAGACCTAAGTCGCGTTCCGACGTTGTGCAGGACAAGCTTTCATTGCACAGGGTGTAACTTGCATTCTGCAGTCTACAGGTGCGCAACTTCACTACTTTGCACTTTTTCAAGTTGAAAGTCATGCCACTGGCCACCGCCCAGTCTTCCAGAAGGTTTAGGTCTTCCTGTAGCCTATCTGAGTCCTCCGGACACTTTATCGCCCTCCATATTTTTACGTCGTCAGCGTACAGGAGAGTCGGGCAGCTCAGACGGCGTGGTAGATCATTGATGAAAATCAAAAACATCAGTGGTCCTAGGATAGAACCCTGCGACACTCCTGATGACGATCTGTGCCAAGATGATCGGACTCGGTTAACCTTAGTGCAAAATTGCCTGTCGGCTAGGTAGTCCTTCAACCATGACAGAAGTGGCTCACCTATGCCTGCCTGGCTTATTTTATGTAGGAGAAGGTCATGGTGAACAGTGTCAAATGCCTTCTCAAAGTCTAGGAAGACCACATGGACTGGTACGTTCAAGTCCCAGCATGATGTCCAGTCGTCCCAAGCTGACAGTAGGTTAGTGACGCAGGATCTGCCTTTTCTGAAACCATGTTGGGCTTCATGTAGTATATTAGTCCTATCGAAATATTCCCTGATGTGGTCGTCAATAATACTTTCCAGTACTTTTGATACCACTGGGAGTAGAGCTACTGGTCTATAGCTAGCAGCGTTTTGCCTGTCCCCACCCTTGAAGATTGGAGAAAGGATGGCTCTTTTCCACTCCCTTGGCAGGGTCCCCGAATCCATTGAGTGTTGGAACAAGTCGCACAGGGGTCTACAGAGAGCCTCGGCGCACTGTTTCAGAACAGATGGCCTGATGTCATCACAACCTGGGGACTTCCCAGGTATGAGTCGCTGTAGCTTCCTTAGTACTATTGCGGGGTTTATTTGGGGAGTAGTCGCTAGGTCTTCCTCCTCTGAAATAGTGGTGCCACCATTTTGGTCCGTAACTGTAATATCCACATTGCTGTTTAGCTGTTTAGCGAAGGCTGAACTGAATGTTTCAGCCATCTCCAGACTAGTGAGATATTGACCGTTTGGGCCTACTAAGGCGCATGCCCCTTGGTTTGTCGGTTTTCTTTCCGACATGAATCGGTACAAGTTTTTAGGGTTTGATAGGAGTTTTTTAGCAAGGTTAGCCTGGAATGACCTTCTGTCCCTCCTAACTCTTGCATTACACCGGTTCCTGAGTTCGAGGTATGCATCATGGTCGGTCTGACTCTTAGATACACGCCACGTAAACCAAGCCTTCCGCTTTGCTTGCAGAATACGTTGCGTGCCTCTCTTCAACCATGACGTCTTTCTCTTAGGCTGTGTTGTGACTAAAGGGACGGTATCCGAGATTGCTGTATGGATAATCTTTTTTACCACTTCCCAGTGTTCATCCACAGATAGGTCGTCCCATGCTAAGGGCCAGTCTGCGTCGGACAAGAGCCTCCGCATTTCAGCATAGTCAGCCTTGCTGTAGCACAGACATGGTCGCGTAACATCCCATTGCAAACGCTCACGGAGGACAAGATCGAAACCTATGACTGCATGGTCACTGCTTCCCAGAGGAGTCATGATCTGGACCTTTTCGACGAGTAGCTGGTCACTAGTTAGAATATAATCTAGTTTTGATGACTTTCCACTAGGGCCCCACCTAGTGTCGTCTCCAACATTCTCAGTCAGTCCCGTGTTTCGAATAGTTTGCAGTAGGTTTCGGCCAAATTTTCCCTTAGCACACCCGGAGCCAAGGTTCAGTGATGGAGCATTGAAATCTCCAGCTATGGTGATTTGGTCGTAGCCCAAATCTCGTATTCCTGTGATAGTGCTGAGCAGTAGCTGATTGTGCTCTGCCCCACAGGTGGGAGATCGGTAGATGCCACCCAGTAAGTGCTTGGTGTGGCCTACGGTGAAATGACACCATATGGAGTCTGGGAGTTCGATAAGTGGTGGGTCCGTTGCGCGCACACATTTAAGTTGCCTATCAAAGTATATAGCAACTCCCCCTCCTTCCTTATTATCCCTGTCTCTTCTGACCAGTACCATATCACCTATACTGATTTCATTGTCGGCGATAGTGGGGTTTAGCCACGTTTCAGTAAGAATGATTATTTTCAGTTGAAGGTGTGCTTGGAGATTTCGGAGTTCACCTACTTTCCCTCTCAGCCCCCTCACATTGCTATATAGGCAACTGACAGTGAGTCTAACAACCTCAGAGTGTTGTGGGGTAGTTGACGTGAAACCGTCTGCTGGTGGGGGACTTGATGTTGGAACTAGTTGGCCGATTCCGATAGAACCGGCCCGTTGTAGTTTTTTTCAATGGATTTAGGCAGGACACTTGGGAGACACAGACTATTATTCTCAGAGCTGCATCGCTCTAGTGTCACCGAAGCTTGGGGTCGTATTAAAGCCTCAGTTTGCTGCCTCCTTATATTTCTGGGTCTGCTTTCACAGCATCGGATGTGTCCTCCAATTTTTCCCTTGGTCTCATACCACCGTTGAAGTGATATGGACAACTGCTCCGGGGAGTTGAATGTGACACACAGCAGCTTTGGAGAGTTAATCAATGTTAGATGAGCGGGACGAGGTAGTCGGAAAATGGAGATGGCTCCAGAAGCGCCAGGGGCCATCTGAGATGACAGCCATCTCCATTGTTGTACGTCGTGCATGTGTTTTTCACAAGCAGTGCCGGTTTCCAGCTCCGGAACACCGTGTACCACCATAGAGGTGGAAGGCATCAGTTCCGGTGACTCCCTCGCCATATTTCTGACGGCCCATGGTCTATCTTGCCGCGCTCTTATGTTAGAACTTCTGTCCAGGGCTAGTACCTGAGCCATTAACAGTACTTTTTCGGCCTCTTCGGCAGAGTCCAGTGTAACCCGTAATGGGGGTGGCTTACCCTGAGGCGTGTGGACACCCCTGTACAGTCTGCACAGTTTTGCTGAACTAATGTTCAGACCTAGTTTGCCGCACAGGTTGGACCACTGTTCCTGATCAAACAGGGCCCGTTGTTCGAGCAAGCTATCCGTGCTCACAGGTACGTTAAAGAGGATGAGAGAGTTAGACCGACTACCCTCAGACTTAGGTTTTGCCTTCGGCTTCTTGCAGTCCTTTGCATCATTAGCAACATTAGGCTTCATCGGTACCTGGACAGCCTTTTTTGTGTTGCCAGGCTTGCTAGTGGATGCAAGTGGTGCCTTTGTAATTTTGCCTTCCCCTGATGTGGATGGAACCTTGCTAATCTTCACCTTGTGAGAATTGGCATTTCCAGTCAGTAGGGCTGGTGTGTCCTTCTTTAAGTCTTTGACCAGTTTCGGCAGTGCGAGTTTAGCAGGGGGGAGCTGCATGATACTGTGTTGGGGCACAAGAGCGTGTTATTTCTGCTATCCGCAGACACGCTTTGTGGGACTATGCCAGGGCGACAAAGTGGACACACGTACCAAAACCATGGGCATGGGTTATTTCTCATAAACTCATAGTATGCTTTCG